GCGCCCCGGCCGCCCCGAGCCTCGGCCCCGCGGCCTCCGTCCCGCTCCCCGGCGGGCTCTGCTCCCCGCCGCTCCCTTCCTCCTTCGCCCCTTCCCGCCCGGGCGCCGCCGCTACGTGAGAGCCGAGGAGGCGGAGCGGAGCCGGGCCTAGTCGGGAGCCCCGGGGAGTTTGGGGCGCGGGGAGCGGCCTCCGGCGCCCCTCGCCGGGCTCGGGTGCGGATGGGGGGAGGCGTTGGGGCGGGGGGAGGGGATGGGGCAACGGCCCTGCTCCTGCCCGGTGCCCTCGCCGGCTCCATTGTGTCTGGCCGGGGACCGGGGTCCGGGGTTCCGGGTGAGGAGCCTCCCCCGCCCGGCAGCCGGGGCTTCCCCCTCCGCCCGGCCCGGCAGAACGAGCGACTTTCCCTGCGCGCTGCTCCGCCCTGCGCTCCGGGCTCCGACGCCCCGCAAGTCTCCGGGCGGTTTTGCTCGGGGCGGGGTCTCAGCCCCTTTCCTTTCTCCATCATATCTCGACGCGTCCTCTGCTTTTGGAAACTGAGTTTCGCTGGCCAGTTGGCGGAGGTTATATTTACTTCTCTGCTGAGAACATAGGAGACCGCTGGAGTTTGGGGGGTGGGGGGGGGGAGTACGGAAGTGCAACCTGTTCTCATTTCATAAAATTAGGAGACACTGACTAGCTGCTGCCTTTTGAGCACATATTTACTTGCTTGGGGTGGGAGGGGTAATTGCTTTATGACGCCAGTTAAAGACCATTTGTGATTTTTTAAAAAACACAACAGTTTGTCAAGTTATTCCCCTTTCCTTTTTCGTTTGGGGTGAAAAAAAAAATTGTCTCACAGGCTTGAAGACGTGGTAGTCAAGTTATGTTTACATCTGGCTAATTATGTCCCTGACGCTTGTTGGACTCCTTTTGTTTTTCAGAAGCGATGTTGGCCTTATAGTCTGAGCATGAGTTGAATTCCATGCAGGTTACTGTATGAATAGACGGTAAAAATGGTCATAGGGCACATAAAGGCCTCTTTGAGGAGGA